CAGACTCCAGAATCAAGCTGGTTAGGGGATCTTTCCTTTTCAGAATCAAAATGCTTAAATTTTTGAAACCTGTCAGCACATTTAGATATCTCATTTGAAAGTGCTTTGGGATACTTTCACTTATTCTTCTGAAAGAATATTACAGAAAATTCTTCAGGACCCAAGAAAAATACTATACGGCTTTCTTTTCCCGTGCACTCCCCTCTGTATTTCCACATGGACATCAGAGTCCTCCCTAGGGCCCCTCTCCAGAAGGTTCCACCATGGGGACTTACTATTAAAGACCAGTGCCTGCCAACAGCCTCCATCTGCATGCCATCCCCAGCACTGAGACCACAGTGACTTCGTAAGTCCAGGGTATCCAGCCACTCTGCAAATGTGGCTGCAGACAGAGGGACCCACTTACACCCTGCTGAACCTGAGGCCAGAGTAGCCCTATGTGGAGCAGTCACTTGATGTCCCTAGTGTGTGAATCAATGAATGAATAGAGATATATTTTTTAAATTATAGGTTTCATGCACAAAATATAAAGGATACAAGTTTTAATACTTTACATTGATTTCTCCAGCAAGAACGAGCTTTGCAGAAATTTCTCTCTGAGGCTAGCCTCAGTCTACTGGTAATGTGCTATCACTTTTACTTCTGTTTGCATCTTCCTCTTAGTGCCAGAATTCTGGGGTTTTCCATGATTTAAGTTTGAAACTATAAAATAAAATTGAAAACAGCAAGCAAAAGCTTTTTCTACTAAGAAGCACATCTGGACATATGACATGCAGACACAGTGTTAGAGTTCCACTACTATCACTAACTTTTATTTAAATTGTATCTTCTAGGAGTAAATGACTTTCTAGTGCAATAAGATTATGTTCAAAATGATTTCTTATACATGAAATTTTGCCTTAATTAATAATTCATTCATTTGACTATAGTCACACTGTCCTAAGCCACTAGGCCTGCCTGTGAATGGGAAATTCTGATCTGCTAAAATTCTTTTATTCCAAATCATTAGCTAGAACACACTCGCAAGGCCAACCCGGAACTCTGTTGGTATGGTATGTGAGTTCAATGAGAAAGGCACTCACAAAAAAAATGAAAAGGCAGGAATGAACAAAGCTCTACTAAGCCAGCTGATGGACAGTCTCTAACCAGGAGCCAGAGAAAATATCTACACCATCTGGGTATCACCTCCTGTTTAAGTACCTCTGGGCCTGCCTGTGAATCAGTGACAGGGGCTCCTAAGGTTTGATTAGATTGGGGATCTTGGGACAGGGAGGTTTCCATAATAACCATTTTAGGTTTCCATAATAACCATTTTAGGTTTCCATAATAACCATTATCTCATTTTTGGGAATCTCACAAGAATGTCGCATAATTATCACAAAGTTTACTTTTCTCACAAGGTTGGACAGCCGAATTCCAAATGACCATTGCAGTTTAACTTTTAGTCTACTTCCCGATCTGTCCTATTTGTTCTGTTCCCATTTTATGACCCTGCTCTGCTTTAAATAAATTGATCACTAACCAAGAGGGCTGGGGTGAAAAGTGGGGGTCAAATATAGCTTAAGTGCACTCTAGGTAACTTCTCTTAAAATGTAGTTTAAAACAGAAAAATGGAGTCTCTCTTGCCCTATCACTGTCACCTGAGTGACTTCCTGTCTTTGGAAGGAGAAAATTGTATTTCTCTTTCCAAAATGATTTTGTCTTGGTTATTTTTTCATTGCTGGAATACAGTACCAGACACTTACAAATTAAAGTAGGCAAAGTTTATTTCAGCTCACAGTTTGTAGAGATTTCAGTCTATAGTCAGCTGGCTATTGTCACATGCAGACCCAGCTAGCAGAGGAGCATCACAGAGTAGTCCATGGTAGAGTAGGCAGCAGCCAGCAAGCAATAGGCAACAGCAGCAGTAAGCCTTTCTTTCCCTTTCATCCCAGCCAGGGCCTTTTGGGTGGTGATATCCACACTCAGGGTATGCCTTCCCATTATCCACACCCACAATGATGCTAAACCAACAAGAGGACTAATCCAGTTATCACACCTCTCACCCATATTGACTCACCCTTAATCCACATTCACACGCCCTAGATGCAGCCACCTTCAAAAAGTCCTCCATGAGTACATGAGGAGTTGAGGGAATATTTAGATACAAGCCATAATAGAGTCCATTTGTCTTCTCTTTTTTATTGGCAGTACTGAGGATGGAATCCAAGCAGACTACTAAAGTGCTCTACCACTGAGCCTCCAGCCCATGATTCCACTTTTCTTGGAAAAGTCATTGCTTCTTCCTCCTGAGCCTCAACCTCCCATTTCCAGAGGAAAATAAGAGAACAGGTGTGAGAGGCTGCATGGCAGACCTGGGTCAGAGCCATCTGGAGGAGGTTGGACTTCTCTGAAGCAGGAGGAAGAACAGCTAGCCAAGAGGTTGGTGGTATGTAGACACAGAATGAGTGAAGATGAAAGGTAATACAGTCTTCAGAGCCAATGCAAAAGTCACTATCCTGGCTCTGACTGATGGCAGCTGTCAAAATGCCACTTGTCCCATACTGGCCCCAGTCGTGTTCCCTGCCCTGAACTCACTTGTCACCCTCTGACTTGCCTTTTTCACCTCTCTGACCTCATTCTCAACTGTACCACATCAACTTCCTTCCTGAAGGGCCTGTTCACCGGGACATAAGCCTCTTGAAGTTCATAAGGATCATAAGCAATATAAGGATTTATATTCACAGCACAAAATGAGTAACACTTCATATCCTCCAAATGCATTGAGTAAAAGGTTGTGGAGATTGTTATTAAGCTGTCATTGTCTGAACCATGCCCTCAGATGCAGAGAGGTGCTATCCAACCCCTTGGAATGTCATGCCTGATAAGAGACATCCTTCTGTGTCTGGGGACCTTTGCCACGCAGCCAACTATAGCTGGTATAGAGTAGGTGACTCTGGGTCACAGTGTGATACACTGGGCTTCAGGTCATGCAGGATCAGCTCCACCTCAGACATGCTGGCGACAAGGTGAGCGCAGGCATTGTCAACCACTCCAGCTGGACAGAACTTGATAAAGACTAGACCCTGAGCTCAGCTTCCCAGCTAGCCATATTCTGTGTCAAACAGGGAAACTGAGGAGCTATCCTAACTCCATGGAGGGGGCAAAAAATCTCATGCTGGACTTTGTCTGGACTCTGTTCTATATAGCTGCTCTTGGCTGGTTCTAATGTGTGTCTTCTCCCCATAATAAATAATAGCTATGAGTAGTACTGATGTCTGGGTTCTGGTGCCAGAGCAGGGTATCCCATGGGAACTAAGGTATACTGCTAGAGCTAGACACCTACCTGGTCACCTTGCAGGCAAGTAACAGGATGGTATAAGTCAGGGTGTTACTCGGTCTCTGAAAATAACCACCCTTGTTGTCAGAGATAAAAGAAATGCTGAAAAAGAAAAATGCATAGAATTAAACTTGCATGTTGGTTTAAAGCAATGATTCAGTCTTCATTTAAAGTTAGAAACAAAAATGTATATAAAATAAGATGTGCACAGAATCATAAAAATTGAAGTGAACTCAGTACCCTAAGAAGGTGGAAAGTATTAAAGAAGCAGCATGGGAAAATAGGTTTTCCAGAGACAACAAGATTTAATAAGACAAGATGCACAAGACAGAGAGGTTCAAATACTTTACAAGAGGTGACATGAGGAACAATTCAACATCTTTCAGAAGCAGAGATAAGAAATCAATGTACTAACAAAAAGAAATTTTTTGAATGGGAAATATTTGTTTGCAAATGTTTATGTTGCCAATTGAGCAAAGTTATAATTTTGGAAGTTATTTAAACTAAAATCTGGAAGTGGAGGGGTTCTTAGGGTCTGTCAAGGTTTTCAGTGCACTGAGATAAAAAATTAAATCCTTTTTTTTCTTGCTGCATTTATGTACCTGCCCTCCCTGAAGATTCTAATTGGCTACCTGACTTCTGGGTGTCAGTGTGTCAGACATGGTCACCAGCTGACCCCCCACGTTCCGTCCTCTCATTCTGAGGAGGTATTTTGGGAAGAACCTGCAATGGGAGGACCCTTGGTCATGGAATGTGCCATAGTGGGGTTTGCCTGATTCCAGATGTTGGGAGGATCCTTAAAATGGCATATTTTTAGAAAATAAAGAAGCAAGTGACCTTGCATCCTTCAGAGAGGGGGTGACCTGAGGCCCGGGAAGGAAAATCCCTAACAGAATTAAAGTAAGAATATACCTCAAGGGACTGTGACTGTCACATAACCAGGGGCCCAGTGAGTTTCCGTCAGCCTGGCCCTTGATTAGCACAGGAGTGAAGTCTTCTCATGTGTTGCACATAGGGAAAATGTGGGCCAGTGTGGTCCAGATCTGAGCTGAGAGGGTCCTTGCTCCACTAGTTACTGGCCTGTGACTCTTTCCAACCTCCATTTCTTCTTCTTCATCTTCTTCCTTTTTTTGTCTTTTTTTGAGACAGGGTTTCACTGTGCAGTTCAGACTGGCCTTGAACTCACTTTGTAGAACAGGCTGGCCTTGAACTGTCAGTGATCTGCCTGCCTCAGCCTCCTGAGTGCTGTGATTACAGACATGGGCCACCACTCCAGGCTTCCATTTCTTCTTGTATGGACCTTAAAATTACACCCATTGCCTCTCACTCCTGAGTATTCACTGAGATAACTTAGCTCTACTCACTAAATTTTCTCAGCACATTGGGGCCTTGGGCCTGGGGCCCACTGATGTGAACTGAAACAAGATTTCTCTTTTTTAGAGTAAAACAAAACATAACAAAAGTACAAGGGGTTTCCCCACTTCCCTGCTGATCCTCTTTTCTCAAGCAAACTGGGCCACATTGAATCCAAATCTATTGCTGGTTCAGAATTTTTCCTCATTGAGAAAATGCAGAACTTGCCTGGTCTGTGGCAGGAAAAAGTCTCCTTCTTTAGGGAGAAGCACGCAGCAGTCTCCTGCCAGTCACTCCTCTCAAGTTGCTCCAGCACAGTGGTCAGGCCATGGTGCTCCACAACTGCTCAACCACCAGCCCCATAGTGGACACAGCTGTCGGCACCCTTCTGGCCCTGGAGTGTGGTCTGGGCCTGCCAGGCAACGCCATCGCCTTGTGGACATTCTTCTTCCGACTCAAAGTGTGGAAGCCTTACGCTGTTTACCTGTTCAGCCTGGTGGTGGCCGACCTGCTGCTGACTGCCTGCCTGCCATTCCATGCCACTTTCTACCTGAGACACAAGGCCTGGGGCCTGGGCCTCGCATCCTGCCAGGCCCTGCTTTTCCTGCTGGCCCTCAGCCGGGGTGTAGGGGTGGCCTTCCTGGCTGCAGTGGCCTTAGACCGTTACCTGCGTGTGGTTCACCCTCGGCTCAAAGTCAACCTTCTACCCCACCGGGCAGCCTGGGGCATCTCAGTCTTCATCTGGCTTCTCTTGGGTGCCCTCACCTACCACAGCTTGCTTGTCTCCAAGCCTGCCTGGAATGCCACTGAATGTCACAGCTTCTACCCTATGGCCAAGACCGCCAGCATCACCTGGCAGGAAGGGTTCCTCCTCCTCCAGCTGTTCCTTCCCTTTGGTCTCGTCGTGTTCTGCAACTCAAGCATCCTCAGGACCCTCCGGAGGCGACTGAGAGAGCCTGACAGACAGCCCCAGCTGCAGAGGGCCAAGGTGCTAGTCACTGTGGTGCTGCTGCTGTTTGCGCTGTGCTTCCTGCCCAATATGCTGGCCAGCATCCTGGTGCACATCCTCAGAGGCTCAGGCAGCTGCAAGGTCCTGAGTGTGGTGGTGCACGTGGCGGACATTGCAGGCAGCCTCACCTATCTGCATAGCGTGCTGAGCCCAGTGCTCTACTGCTTCTCCAGCCGTGCCTTCACCCACTCCTACCGCAAGGTGCTCGACAGCCTGCGGGGCCGGAGTAAGATAGCCAGAGCCCCCAGCCTGGACAAGGGCTCCTACTCCTGACACAACTACTGCCTCTGCTCCTGCTTCTGCATGATTGCCTGGGATTTAAAGAATGACCACTATGATTTTAGGGTTGCAGAGGAAGGGGAATCATCGATGTGCTGTAGCTACTGCAGACATTGTGATGTATACTCCCAGGATGCTTCTCCGCTATTTTACACAGTTGAGTGGCAAGCCAGTTAACAACCAGACCCTACTTAGAACAGTTATAATGCAGGGAAGTTGCCAAATGAGAAGCCACACTTGGAGAAGTAGAACTGGCTGCATCTATAAGAAAGAGAGGAAGGCTGAAAGCTGGTGTTTCCCAATGCCATGGACCTCGGCAAGTCATTTTCACTTTTTTTTTTAAATTTTAAAATTTTATATATATATAATTGGTATATATTTGTGATACATAATAATTATAAGCAGCTTGGGCATTTGGCATGTGTACATATTGTATCTTGATTATCTTTACTTGTGAAGCTTTAGTTTGCCACTGCAAATAGCTGTGCTTTCTGTTCACCCACTGCATAGACTGTAACAACTAATGTCAGAAATGCCTGGGTTCTAAAGAGGTTTGAACTTACCTACATGATTATAGTTTGTACTCAGCTCATTTTGTATGTAACATTTCTGTTTCTATAAAAATTTACTTCAATTTTATGTTTATCCTATGTGGAAGACAGTGCAGTTAGTTCCCTAGTTTAATAAGAGAAGCACTTTCCTGCTAAATTTCTTAAAATTGCCTCTTGCTTCTAGCTGAGCTTTGAATTTCTAAATACTTTTGCAACTGGCTTCCTCTGCACTGGACAAAAGTCTCCCTGGAGAAATACACAAAGTAAGATATGGACTTGCATTTGAAATGATCATCTCCGATGTGACCCTGAGCATAATGGATAGAGGACGCAGGGGCTTTGCCAGGCTGACACAGCAGACCCCCAAGTGAGAGGAGGGTGTGGTGTCTGGCTCCCACCCTTGGAGGCCTTTGAAATGCTGTACTTTTTCATCTCATCTCTGGCAGATTATGACCCAAACTTGTAGCTCAGGATGATAACATAAGATTTCCAAAGTTACCTTCCTCTCTGCCAAATGTCAAATTTCCTGCTAATACCTACCAGTACGGGAAGAACCAAAAGGAATCCCTCGGGGCTGGGCCGAGGTGGGTGTCTGCCTGTAGCTCCACCTTCCGCCTATCTGCATGCCCCACATTGTGCCACACTTAGATTCAACACTCACGGCACTGGCCTTAAGAAATGTCAAACTGTCTCCCACCCACAAGGCCCTCTCCTGCCAGGTAGTTCCTAATCAGAACCTCATCTGAAGTGCTGGAGTATGTCCTTCCCTCTTTGCCAGGAAACATATAAAGAGGAGCATGTGTTCTTCGACCCCTGTGGAATCTGAGCTCAGTTAGCAAGCCTCACTTCTCAGAGGGTTTCCTTTCTTCTAAGCAAGTAGAGCACCAAAGGGCTAAGAAGGCAACTAGGCTCAGATTGAAGAGGTGGATGCAGTCTCTGCCATTCCTGCTTTCTTCCCTTTACAATGAAAAGAAATGTCCCCATTTTCCTTCCCTAGATCTTAATATATGCAGTCTTAAATGCCGCTTTAAGAAACCTAATGTTTCACACACACATTTGCTATAATGTGACAAACCCAGAAAAGTTTGTTGCTTGATCACATAATCCTCTGTCAAAGAGTTTTCTTAACCCTTCCCCTGCTGCTGGGCAGTTAGACCTCTGACTACAGATGAAGACACACCTGACACACTCACTGTAGTGCACATTCGCCGCTGGGCACACTTACGGTGGGGCAGGCTCAGGGTCCCTCTGCTGGGCTCCTAAGCAGACCTGCAGGGCAGCATAGGTATATAGGAGCTTTGAGGAAACCCTGCCGCCTCGCCAGCCTCCAACCTTCTGAGTCCATTGGTGCAGCTGAGGAAGGACCTGGCACAAGACTGTTAAAATCCCCTCCTTGATTCTACTAATACGCAGTGAACTGAACGGCCTGGAGAATAATGCCTTGCTCCACCATTTCTTAGCTCTGTGATCACTCTCAACTGTCTTCATCTGTAAAATGGGTACAGCAAAGTCTACCATGGGGTCATTGTAAGGATTAAGTCAAATAGACATGCAACAGAGCCTGGCATATCATAAGCATTCGGTAAATATTAATTTGCTGTTTCCAGCTCCTTGCTAATTCTCTTTCCTCCCTTCACTTCTCCAACCACACAGTGGGACCTGGGGACAGTTTTTACCCGTCCACCCCAATCACAGGCCTGGCACAGGATGAGTATGGAGAAACCTGGATTTGAAAAGTGGAGTTAAATCAAAGGCTTGTAACATTCTTTCTGTCTAGTAAATCCTTTGGGGGTGTTTTATAACGATTCTGCCGGACTCATTTTATTCCTCACATCAGTAAAATGGGATTTTTCTGGTCTAGGATCATGTGAACAGCCCTGAGATGGGGCCTAAGTGCCTGGTGCCACCCAATCAGAGAGAAAATGCCAGAGGGCAGGGGCAGGAACAGGGTCCTCATCTCCCCCGACTCATCACCTGCTCATAAGGAATGACCCCAGAAAACCAAAGACAGGTGTTACAATGCGACAGGTCGCTGAGCACAGCCATTTCGCTAACAGTAGCGGGTTTTGGTTTCTCTCTTCCTGGGCCCGGCCCCTCGCCACCGGGAGGGAGGCTCACAGTCTCACCTGAGAGCCACTGATCTGGTCTCCTCCCTGTCTGGATTCAGGCCCACCCAACAGCCAAGAGCCCAAGTTTCTGAGTGAAGAGTTTCTCTTCCTTACTGAGATAGTGCTCTTACTTTTTCACGATTCTGTTGCTCTTGCTGTTTCTCTTTCCTCCTCTGCAGTGCACAGGTCCTCCAGATGCAGGGCACTGGCTCAGATCCCTCCAAGCCCAGCCCATGGTCCCCACCAGCCTCTGTGGTTTCAGCCCAAGAAGCCTCCCGGGCAATGATCCCACCCACATGTGGACAGCAATGACACCCAGCTCCTTCACACGCTCTGCGTCCCTGTCTGCATTCCTTACCTCACCAGACCCTTGAAGCTTGGCGCGGGCTGCTCACCTCACACCCAGTGCTTTGATCAGAGCCTGGCTCACACTGGACACTTCATAAGCAAAGAAAATAAATGCATAAATGAAAGTTTAACCTCACTCAAAGTTAACAAAAAATAAACTTTATTATTTAATAGCTTGGCTTTTGAAAACATAATCTGAAGGTTTGGATCCAGAGGCAAACTTACAACGGTGTCTTTTAAAACTGTCTAGGGAGAAGCTAGTACAGAGGAAAATGTGAAGCTGTTCCTTGCTACGGAAGGCTTTTCCTCCGTATTTTCCTAATCATTTCTGCCAGTAACTTAATCAACACTTTGGATTTATCAAGGTCAGGATAAGGACCAATTCTGCCTTTCCTTTGGGCTCATGTGGGGACAGTCAAATGTGTTAGATGACTGTCAGAGGCTTCCTCTGTTAGGAAGAAACACACATTAGATGGTCACCTTCAACATGCCTCTGGTTGTGTTTCAGGGTAAGGTGCACATAGCACACAGCTCACTGCCCTGATGTCGTCAGGGCTCAGGGCGAACTTCGGCGGTGTTAAGTCTGTTCACTGTGCTGGGCACCTCCCCCGTCTCCAGAACACTTCCTATTGTGAGAAATTGAAACTGTCCCCATTCTCCGTTCCCCTCCCCCACCTCATTTCCCTGTCACCATCTGACTTTCTGTCTCTGACTCTGACGACGCTGAGTACCTTACAGTGGAAACTTACAATATGTGTCCTTCTGTGCCTGGATTCCTTCACTTAGCACAGTGTTCTCAAGGCCCACCCACCAGAATTTCCTTCCCTTTAAGACTAGATGATGCTCCACTGTATAGTTAGACCACATGTGGTCTACTCATTCATCCACTGACGGGCACCGGGGCAACTTCTGCCTTGTGAATAACGCTGCTGTGAACGTGAGCATACAAATACCTGTTTCGACCCCGCTCTGAGTTTCTTCAGGTGCACAGCCAGGCTCGGGGAGCCTGGGCTCTGTGGTAACTTGGTTTTTAATGCTTTCTGGGCTGTCCACATTGTTTCCCACAATGGCTGACCCATAAGCAGTGCACAAGGGATCCCATTTCTCCACGCCTTTGCCAGCACTTGTTATTTTCTGTTTTACTTGTTTGTTTTCTAGTGTTCATCCTAGGGGTATAGAGAAATTCTTTCTTGAAAATCACAAAATGCTTAGTGTCTTCAGCAGCTGAGAAGAAAGTCCTATATCTGGATCCTGGATACCACACTGGCCTAACATGGACTTTACTATTTACCTACATTCTAATTTCCCATAATATTAGTCTTTTGGGTAGATGTAACAAAATACTTCAGGTTGGGTAACTTATTGATAGTAGAATTGATTGGCCACAGTTCTGGAGAAGCCTTGGTGCTGGCAAGTTTGGTGTCTAGCTGTTTGACTGCTTCAGAGATGGAGTCTTTTTGCTGGGTCCTCACATGGCAGAAGAGGTCAGTGCGCTCCCTCACATCTGTCTTGTAAGGGCGCTGATCTCACCCACGATGGCAGAACCCTCCTTGCTCCATCACTTTCCCTCAGACACACCCCTTAGCTCTCTCTTGCTGGGTATTAGGCTCCAACATAGGTTTGGGGAAGAGGGAAACTAACCTTCAAACTGCAGCAACCCTTGTTTTCCTTACTGTCTTTCTGTCTGGCCCAGTTTTGCTTACCTATAGTTTGATTTCCCTTACATCCACCTGTGTAGTGGGAAACTGACACTCTGAGGGAAAAAGGAAGAGCCACCATTTTCATCTGAAGCACTTGCTAATTTCTGTGGTGTAAACACTTCCCACCATGGCTGATTTAAGGTACTGATCATTTTGAGAGCTGGCTCCTGAGCTCTCACAGCTGGCTCTGCAGAGTGCTGTGTCCTCACTTCTTTGCAGTCTGGCTTTGAGTCCCTGAGAAGGACAAGTATTCTGCTCTACAGCTGGTGCCATCTATGCAGACAAGAATATGTGGACAGACCTGAAATATATTAAAGCAATGTAAAGGCTTTCCTGCAGACCCTTGTAGGAAAAGGTCCACAAAGCATTGGCAAGGAGGACAGACTTGAGGGTTCAGCTCAGGAATCGTGAGGAGTTCTGGTGCTCATCCTCATTTCATCCTGTGCAGCCCTGCTTCTGGATATCTTGTGGAAAGGTTCTGCAGCAAAGCTCTTCCTCTTCCCTAGGCCACCCTACCCCATCACAGAATCCAGGCAAAGGTGCCTCGAAGAAAGTGAGTGGATAGCTTGAAGAGTGAGTTTGTAGTCATCAGAGAGTACTGAAG